CTATTGAAATCAAAATAACGTAATATGTTATATATGAACATACCATCTGACTGGAGCATTGACACTAGGTTTGCATATGTGGTGAAAAAATGCTGGCGTAGCTAGCTGGATATGTATGGTAATGAAACATGTTCACATACGTGACAAATTTTTGCAAAACAAGAGTTTGTTGTTTCTGTCTTTAAGGCCCAAAGCATGAAAACATGAGAGGCCTGGATATAGATCAAACCCGTCTAAATGGGATTTTTGGCTGGGTCGTTGTTCACTGAAATATTGTTTAAAGTTCCCTTGCACCTAATAACAAATGATTCTTTGCATAGCTCCAGCTTGGTCCTTCTGGGCTGTGTCCACATAACTCAGTGTTGTTTTTGTGCAGATTGAAGGAGCACATCTGCAAAAGAGAAAGCCCAGAGAGGTGAAGACAGCCATTTTTTTCAGTAGTCAAGGTTAAAAGAAAGTTTTCCCTTTAAGTGAGAGTGTGTTTGGAAATTAAGTGTTGTAGAAGTAAATGTTCCTTCATAATACAGTTACTGCCTCTGGGTAGTGAAAATATTCCAAAGCAACCCAGTAACAGGATCGCGGAGTTGCAGTCTGAAGAAACCATGCTACTCCTGACAACAAGAAAGACCAACTTTGGGAATGAGAAAGCTCTTGATAAATCATGTGCAAGTTTCTCTAGGGACTTTTGCTACCTGCTACCAGCAGAAAGATTTTAAGCATGCAGTGATTGAACCTCTGAGGCAACACAGAGTGACATAAGCATCAGATTTGAGTTTCAAAACTACCGTTGTTCCTATTTAACCCAAAAGGGCTTAATTCTATCTTGAAAAATTATGTAGTGGAACAAATGTCTGTGCAGTGAAGAAATACAGTCTGTGCCAGGTATGGTATGCAGTATGGTGTCTGCCCTCTATACTGACGTGCACCCCTTCTCTGCCCCTCAAAAAAAAATAAAAAAAAAATAAAAAAAAAATCCTGGGCCAGACATGGGGTATATGAATGACTGGAAAAGGAGAGGTGGTGCCTAGTAAGCAGAATAGATCCTGCTCACTGCTGGCTGCAGCCAAAGTAAACAAACTCGCATAATTGCCACCACAGGCTTTTTACAGTAGATCTGCGTTTTTATTGATGTTGTTATTAAACTGCTATAAATGTTGTAGGCTGCTGTTGGAGATGAAATCCCCCCTTCCTCCAACTTCTTAGTTGCTGTCTGTCACTAAAAGCTATTAAGTTTATCATCTAGCAGAATCAGACAGTTCAGGAAGCAGTCTGAATGTTAATGTTAACCTATAATAGGTTTTAAATATCCATAAAGAAAAATTAGACTGCAATGGGACAGGAAGGCTAGTTTACCTTAACATAAAATAAAAGAGGACGTGTTGGCCTGATTTACTTAAATGTAGCTATTATGTGCTCTTTAGGGAGGAAACTGGTGTACCAAAGCTTATACAGGCAGGAAAAATGTCCTTTACCTCACTCTGTACAAATGACATAAAGGTTCTTGTTTTAATTAAAGAGTAAATCCATAGGTGCGACATGTATGTATTAATGCAGATGTCGGGCTGGGCTACCTTCTACATTATTTCCTTTGGGAATAACAACAGAGCTGTAAAAAAGGGTATTCTGAAACATGCTACATCTTGTTTGTTTTTGAGGTGTTTTTCTTTTTAGCAAGTCTAATATGATTTATATTTGCTATGAAAATGTGATGGTAATGAAAATGGATCATCTGTCACTTGGGGGTTCCCATATTGCCTGGGCTGGCCTAAAACTTTTACAGAAATGTGTGGAAAAATCATGCGTGAGCCCAAACTCTTGAGCCCCATCTGTCTCCATGTTTGCTTCTGAGCTTCCCTCAGACAGCAGCTCCTGCGGGCTCCCTGTGCTGGCATTTGAAATGCAACCACTTAGTGTAAGAGGGAACATAAAAGAAACGTGGAGGAAAGTCAAGGGAGGGTAACAGGTATGTGGTGAAAGCCCAGTGCTGAAGGAGAAATTGGTCCAGTTTTCTGTGGTTGCTCTGAGATCTTGGAAAGAGGTCTTGTTTAAGACAGAGTTGCTAAGAGCAAACGGTCAGCAACATCGTAATGCAAGACTGCATCTTGTGGAGGGTGTTGCTGGAGGCATGGAGAGGACTAGTTATGGAGAGCTTCAAATGCCTCGCTTTGCACCTTTGGAATGGCCAAGGTGTGAATGCGGTGGGACCATGAGGGCGCTGGATGGGAGAGCTCTCATCAGGCACCTTAGGGCTGGGGCACTCCATGCTGCCTCCAGGTGTGTGCTTTGGTTATAGACTGCTTGTCAGTTTATATGCTTTGTATTAAAACACAATTTCACTTGCCTTTACTACATCTTGTGAAGAACAAAAACCTGTACACCTAAAGATTAAGCAGAGTTCTAGTATGTAGTATTAAAATCAGTTAACGATTGAGTGTAAACTCATACAAACCAGTTTTTATACATTCTTTAGCCAGTTCTAAGTACCCAGTTAACTTATTAATTAATTAATTTTTATTTTTAAACAAACAACAAATCAATCAATCAAGAGCTGTGCCATGATAAATCAGTTATATTGCTTGGGTACAATATGAAATTTTGAATTGGTCCTTAATGGAAAATCAAACTGTTACCTGCGGTCCCAAACAAAGCATTTGAAGCCAGTTTTAAGTATTTATACAGGATTGTGTTCTTCCTGAAAGATAGGAAGCTTTTCATTCATGTTGAGCTGATCATTTTCCTTCTTTTGCTGGTAATATCAGGCACTGCACACAAAAAAATAATTTCCCTATTGTTAGTAGCAACATAGTAAATGCAGGATTGTGTGCACCTGGATGAAATTCAGGATCAGTGGCGTGAGCAGGTAAGACTAGGTGATTTGACTGTCTCTTCTGCTCTCAGATGTAGGTGAATTCCTCCTTAGATTTTGTGTTCAGCCTCACTAGTCCACAAAAGGATGTGGAACTTGTCAGAGCAGTCAGGGTCTGAATCTTCCAGTCTGAAGGGGCCTTGTTGTTTCTTTCGAGATCCAGGTTAATGATTGGATTCTAATTTAGACTCTTACCTTTCAGATTCATCTGAAACAAGTGTTACGTGTCAACTGTGCATGGTGATTTTGAGTTTCACAGGACTTCTGAGTATAGACATGAAAGAAAAATGAATTATGTGGTTCTGTCTAGGCTTCTTGAAACCTCACAATTTCTTTCTAGTGCTTTTCCTATTGGGTTTTACGTGCATTTGTATGCACACATATGCAAGCCAAAAACTGCTTTGTCAGACTGTATGAAGAAAGACTTCTATTTACAGTTGCATTACAATGTAAGATGTTTGTTTGATCTCTATTTTTTGACAAATGGTGAGGCCAGCTTCGAAGCTGGGTTAGATTGTGCATGTTAGCTTGCCTTCACATTTGGTTTGTGATGTGGGCATGTTGGCACATGTAGGCATGCTTTCCTCCAAGTATCAGCAAAATGAAAGCAGGACTGAAGTGTACCTGGGATTATATCATGAAGCATTGTATTCACTGAAGCCCACGGAAGAAAATAATTAAAGAAAAAAATGAAGGTTTTGTTCCCAATTCTGTAGAGCTTTGGAAAAAACAAAACAAAACAAAAACAAACAAAAAACAAACAAACAAACAAAAACAAGCAAACATAAAAAGATAACAACAACAACAACAAATCTTTAAAGCTGTAAAACTTCAGGAAAATTGTTAGCTTTGACTTAGTGAACAGCAAATAAAATGGAAAAGTTTTAGCAGTAGATTAGTCTAGACGTGGTTTAATTCTAAAAATAAGTAAGTAAATAAATAACTTCCCCTGAAGTAGTACCATTAGAGACAATGGATTTGTAAAGCCAGGGAAACTTAGACAATATATGTTCTCAGTTACGTTGAAGAGAATTCAGATTAACTACACTGAAGTGAATAGTTTGGTACTAATAATGTGTCACGACAGAACTTTATCGATACAGCTTGGCTTAACATAGGATGGGTTTGGCTTCCTATTACTTTTTAAAACTTGTTGTCCATATCAAGTATGTTTTTTACTTCACAACAGAAGAAATGTATCAGGCAAATTGCTGACAATTTTTATTTTATTTTTTATTTTTAAATCTCCATGGTGAAAATAAAGTAAAACATAAAACATAACTAAATAGAATCATAATTTTTAAAAAATTCAACTTCAAACATTATGAAGTAACTGTCAATGAGCTTGTTTTTTACATTATGTAGAAAGCTTCTTGTTGTACAGTACATATGCAGTATATGAATACACCTCTGCTGAAGTTCTGTCTTTGAAATACCGTTGGTTTGAGTAAGTGTTTCATTCAGTTTCTAATGCTAACTAGTTTGTTTATTGTGTCTTGTTTGGAAATCAGATGACTAAAACTGCACCTGCTATCTTTTTAATTATGCACGAAGTGGTGTTCAGACCAGTGCCCCTTTTTGTGCATGTTTCCAGTTGGGGTATTCCCTCTGGCTTCTCAGTAGAACTGCTCAAAGTGTCAACAAACCTTTCCAAGGGGTGGGAAAAAATAGAGGCTGTCTGCGTCGTACAAAGACAAGTGGAAGAACAGGATGTTATTTGGTCTGAATTCTTGCATCTAGAGCCTGTAGCAAATGTAGTTTTGAAAAAATACAGCCATATATAACTCTGACAATATATGAAATTTTGCTTTATTTTTCTTTTCAATGAGTCAGGGAAAAGCCAAATTCTTTAGTTTATATTTGTATTACAGCAACGGGAACTCTTGCTGTGTATCCACCAGAAGAAACCAATAATAAAAAGAACAATGAAAAAATGCTCAGGAAAGAAAGAGCAAGTGCTTCATAGTTAATTTCAATGCCAGGTCTTTCAGCAGTGTATGATGTGTATATGTTCTAACTGAAATAAACAAATCCGAGTGTATAAATCAATTAGTTATGTGTTTGCTTCATTCCAAGAGCCCGTTTCCAGGCTCAGATTAATTTAAGTAACAGATCTGTTACTGTTCTGTAAGATCAAATACTTTTGGTCCCTTAGTAAGAACTTTACATGCCAGCTGTTTGCAGATGATAATTAGAAGTGGTAATAATTTTACTGAATTCTGTCTCTCTATGTAGGTGAGAATTTATGGAATGTATACTTTTGCATTATTAGTTTGTGTTTTTGCATTTGATTTAGTTTTCCTTCCATTACTTACTCTTTAACAAAAGCATAACTACCTCATAAAACACTGTTAAAAAGAAGATGAAACAACCTAAAATATCTTGAAATAAATTTCACTTTTTTTTTTTTCTTCTTTTTTCTATTTTCTTCTAGAAGCTGGAAAGGATGAGATAAGGAGACATTGTAGTTTCAGTCTTTAAACATTTGGGACTTCTTTATGAGACTTAAGTCTATCTAGTAGTGTGATAGAAACATTAACTACTTACTTCAGTAACATTAATCAGTAAGTAACGTTAGTTAAGAAGATTAAAACTATTTATTTTTTTCTGTTTAAATGTAATTTAATTTTCTTGTGAGCTGTTAAGATCAATGCTATGTTGGAATTATTAACTTTGCTTCAAAGGTAAAACTGTAATTAAGTGGATTGTTGTAGATTTAACTAGATACTTGGACGTTTATTTATTTTTGTCTTTCAGTAGGTAATTCAACATCTTTTTAAAATGTGTAACAAAACAAGACTCAGAAGGAGCAAAAAGAAAATAAGGAACTCCACTTACAACTGTTGCATAGGACACATTTAATCAGCAAAAATCTATTTTCAAAAATTAGTAACTTTTATTTATTTATTTATTTATTTTTTACTTTTAATAGTATAACTACTTCGATGAACTTAGTGAAAGGCTGCCTGGATCAGGCATGCTTCCAGCTGTAGTCTTCCTTAGCTTGCAGTGAGATTATTGTCCTTTAGTAGTCCATTCAAAACCTTAGCCCATCATAGCATTTGCCAGCAAAACATTGTTCGATAAGTCCAAATTAGAATGTATGAGTTGTAATTTTAGTGCATACTATGTTCTTTCAAGGCCATACAGGACAAAGCAAGCATTAAAAATGAACAAGAATTTTGGGAATGCTACTGAAACTGCTTTTGTTTTCCTCAGGCTGATGCCAGGCTTCCTGTTGCCTGCTATAGAAAAGGTGGCTCAGCTTTCCACAGCTGAGACTTCCCCTATCAATTTCAAAATTGTTGTGGAATCCTGAATGTGGGATGGAAAATGAGGTAAGGTCATAGAACAATTTAGCCTGGAAGGAACCACGGGCTGTCATCTCGTCCAAGCCCTGTCAAAGCAGAGCTGATTTTGTAGTTAAATACAACTTTAAAGTCAATTGAGGCCTTTTCCAGGCAAGTCTTGAATAGCTCCAAGGGTGGAGATTTCATAACAAGGCAACTTGTTCCAATGTGTGACCACCCTTTCTGTAAGAGTGTTTTCCTGATACGTAATAGTAATTTCACCTTTTCCCTCTTGTCCATTGTCCCCATGTCATTTTGCCATGTGCTTCTGAGAAGAGCCTGTTTCTCTTTCTTGTATGTGGTGCACTCCTTTGGCTATCACAACATTGCTGTATTTCTTCTGTATTCCCTTCTGCCTGCCTGCATTGAAACGATGGTGAAGGTTTAGTGAGTTAATGTCTGCACAGTGTTACAAACATCTGCAGTACTTCATAAATATAGAATATTTAGCTGCTGTGTAGGTCATCTTGCTGTGGTAATTTGATATTACTCTTGAAACAGCTATTCTTTAGAAATAAATTCCTAGACTAGCATGAGATAGGAAGGAATGTAGCATACCTTCCTGTGTAAAATGGAAAGCACACAGCAGCAGCCACTTGAATTGCATCAACATCAAATTGTTCCTCTGCCAACATTGTGTATATCACTGCTCTGTAAATTGTTTTACAGCTCCCTACCAAATCTTTGGTACCTCTGGAGCTGTTGTTGAATCTTTTCCAATTATCCAGAACCTTGTAACTTAATATACCCAAGTTGTAAAAAATGGTTGTAAAGTGCAGGTTTAATAAAGAATTACATAAATAAGAAGTAGTGAAAGGTGCCTGAAACTTGATATTCTGGCTAGACACTAGAAAAGATGCTGGAATTCACTTTGGTAATGAGTTTGCAGACTGAGATTAGCAGAACCATTTCCCAGACACTCTGGGAAAGCAAACTCATTTAGTCATTAGGAGTGTTATGGCTGCTGAAGTAAAAACATGGATGTCAGGGACTGGAAAAACAACTTCTTGTGGCTAATGATCTGAATGTTAGACTTGTTCAACATGCAGAATATATATGAAAAGGTAGAATATTACTTTCTCGCTGCCTCACGTTCGATACGCATTTGTTAACATGTTAATTAAATTGCGATGCACTGCTCCTATAACATTACCAGATATTAGAGCACTGAAAGCCTTTTGCCAGACCATAACAACTTAAGCCAAAAGCTACATTTACTGTATGCAGACTTTTTCCTCTGTATTATGGTGTCAGAACCTCATTTTGTACATATCAAAAATTCAGCACTCAATTCAATCTCTTTACACTGAATTGCTTGTATTCAAAATCACAGAAGGAACTGAGATGTGCCTAAAAGCCTTGTGCTGACTTACTATTACAGGATATTGAAAGGTCAGAATTTTCAGTGTATGAATAACTCTGATGTTTCAGAATTGCTTTTCTTCCAGAACTGGAAAGAAAAGTCAGAAGTAAATTTTGATCTACTAATGTTCTCAAATAGTATGTTAGATTTTGTTTTGCTTGCCTACCACCCAGCACTTGTAAGGCTGACAGTCTACCACTTTTGAAAGGCAGAATTTCCAGTCTCTGAGACAGCGGAAAAAGTCATGGAAAAGAATTCTGAAACCATCATAAAAACAATGAAAACACTTACTTTGCAGCTTAAGTCCTAATATTCCCATCTTCGTCAGAATCTGGAAGGCTCTTTGAGTCCAATTGCCTTATGGCCTTCAGGCATTCTCTAGTTATCAGTGACTTCTTATGTCCTAATGCCACCAACATCAGCGCAGTCAGTATGGCAAAGCTGTCCTACCTCAAGGTCCCCAAGAGTCTTGGGCTCTTTGATTCAAGGTAGTGATGCTAACATACAGCTGTGAACCTGAAAATAGTCTAGGGATTTCTATTAATAGTTTACTAAGCAAACTAGCAGGAAACCAAGCAGGCTACTGACGATCCCCCACTTAAGTTGATTTTTCGGCATTATTTCCATTTTTAAGAAAAAATCATTTATTTATTTATTTTGAACTTGGATTTTTTTTTTTTCATTAAAAAATTGCTGCAACATTTAGGTTTGTTCTCATGTTCTTTCACCTGGGTCAGTCTCTGTAGATGAACATAATACCCATTCCCATCAAGACTTTTTTTGCCTCTCCAATGAAGTGTTTATTTTCTTAGTGAGAACTGTGAATACTTACCTGTAGGTTTAAGTCTAGGAAGAAAAAAATCCTATTGATTCATTTCTTTTCTTTCAAAAATATTTTGAAACCTTTTTTAGCAATAAAGTACTGCAGGCATGTACTTTTCTTCTATGTCAGCATGAAAGGAAGGACGTTGGCCATGATTCCTGTGTTAATCTGCAGTTAAGAGACTCTGGTTTTCTTATTAGCAGTTACACTCTGTGATCTGGCCATTTCTCCCATTGAAAAATTACAGGTGTGTTATGATTCATCTCCATTTCTCTTTTGTAGGAGTTATTTGATACATGATAATGCTATGTTCCCTTTCAGTCCCTTTATATATAAGCTTTTTTTTTTTTTTTTCATTTGTGAATTGGAACAATCAAATCGTCCAGTCCCTAATTTTTTCACGATTATAACATTGGCAGAAGCACAGCATTTTATTTGTAAATATGTTTGTGATAGGGCGATATTGACATCTTGATTTTTTTTTATAAGGATTTTTTTTTTCTTTTTCTAAAATTAACCTCTGGATTTGAAAATGTGTGATCCACAGCCAAAAAAAAAAAAAAAAAGTGTTTTTCAGTCTGGATAAAATAATTCAAACCTGAAATGTCATAGTTGAAAGAGTGTGCTTGCTTCTTACCACTAGCTGGGGAATCAAGTCATGGCTTCAGTCAGAATGAAAGTGAATTTGCCTTTTTCACAAATCTGTCACAGGATTTGATATGACTATCCAGTTCTGCTCAAAGAAAATCTTGCAGTGGGACTGTTCTCCTTCAGGGCTAAAATCAGGGCAGACTGTCTACTGGTAGACTTGTAAGGTGTGCTAGCATCAAACCCTTCCTCACTATTTCTGTCTGCAGAACTGTTAGATTTTTGCTGGATCATAAATGTAAAAGAAGCTTGAATACAGTGTTGAAATCAATGGACCTGTGCCAGCTTAACAGAAGCTGAATATCTGGCGTAGATTTTACCTAGAAATGCAAGAAGCATACACAAAGAAAAGATTTGTGTTGCTAAATATAGGCTGCCCTGAGAGTTCTAGGTCTAAAATAAGCTGTTTAGGCCAGGTAGCAAAAACAACACAGTTGATCTTGCAAGATTATTTCACCATAAGTATCGGAAATCGATAAACATTTGTAATGCACCAGAAACATGGGTGTGAAGACCTTTTATTTTTGGTTGTCCTAAGGCAAATTTGTTAAAAGAAGAGCACTGCATTTCCATTTATCTGTACATATATTTTATTTATGCTTGCATATATAAAGCCATATTCCTGTGTGAGACATTCCTACAGATGTTCGTGTATGTATAAAGCATTTGCAGCTTATGCACAGATATATATGATTTTTAAATGCTGAGGTACAGGACTGAAATAACAGAATTTTCATTAGACAGTTTTATCACATCTCTTTACATAAAATTTCAAAAACAAGTGCTAATGTTGAAACTGGCTATTAACCAAAATGTTTGCTGTCAAATTAAGTGTTCCCATCTGAGATGATAAATGGAGACTACATAGCTATAAACTGTGGCTTATGAAAAATAATTCATTGACATCTGGTCTAACATCTGGTTTTATAATTGGTGCTCCAAAGCAATGGAATATGTACTTTATTATTATTTTAATTAGTGTTCAAAAACATGTATTTTTTGCATCATGCAACTATTGCATAGTTGCAGAACGTAGTTTAAAAAAAGTCTTTGATTCACACCAGTACCTGTAGGTTTAAAACTATACGAATACTAGTACTTTACCATTTAACAATAGGCAGCAACAAACAAGTTCCAGGGAGAAACAGGGAACAAGTTCTTCTAGCACCTGTTCAGTGCCTGCCACAATAATACCTAAGGGAATACTCTTTTTCTACTTAGGACTAATTAAAAATGATCCTGATATTTTTGTCATTACTATTCCCATTTTATTTCTATGTATTTAAGTTGAAGACAACAAAGCTTGTGTCAGAAGGCTGTCCAAGTCACTGATCTGCAAGAGACTATTTTTTCTGCCTTTCTTACTGCCAGCTTTAAAATTGTGAACACTTCTAAAGATTCAAAATTACCTTGCATCTTATCAGTGCTTGCACACAACACTGCTCTCTGGAGTAGTCCTAGTGACTGATCACTTGCTTTACATCATCACATTTTCAGAATAGGTTCTGCAAGCCTCATGCAAGCTCTCTGTGTGTTTGGTAGATTAGTTCTGCCATTGTTGTGGAGGTGGGGAATTCTTGTAATACTTAAACATGGTGTTATTAATATTACTGTATTGTTTCTGCATTACAATAGCACTGCAAGACCAACAGCCCTATGTGCCTGAATTGTTCCAGGCACATAGCGGGAGATTCACTACCTTGAAGAGTTTATAGGGAAAGCACAAAGACAGGTAACAAGTGCTTTATTCTTGCACTTTTATAACTGTAGATATGCATAGTTTCATTTCCATTTTTCTCCAATTAGTTATGATTACATATGAAGGTATTTGGAAGAATCAAAACAGTTTTAATTTACACGTGATACACGTCATTTCTGTAAGTATTTTCTACACAGGACACCTCCTAATATACTTAGTTTTGGACATCTGATTTCAGGAGGATGCAGAGAAAAAGTTGATATTAAGGAAAGGGGAAATTCTGAAGGTCAGTTTGAACAAATTTTTGTGCTTCTGAGGCAACATACAGAGAAGGTCAAAAATAATGCTTACTTCCTGTTATATTTGATTTTATAGCTTATGTTATTCAAAGTATTCCCCATTTGAAAAAAAAAACAAAAAAAACAAAACAAACAAAAAAAACCACAAACAAACAAAAAAACAACAACAACAAAAAATAAAAAAAGGCTGAAGATGGAGATGAGGTCAAAGGGCTGCTTTTCCAGAATGCAGTTAGTAGATGTAGTAATGCAGGAGCCCTGGGTGTTGTAAAGCTGCATGCGCTGCAGAGAAGCAGTGATGGGCAAGTTGTGGGCTCACTTGCTGCTGCTCTGCAGCTTGAGCATTTTATTGAGACATCGTGGGAGAGTAGCTTCATTCCTATATGTGTCAATTGGCTAAGACCTGCCAAGGCGTCAGTATTATTGTTTTCAGTCCTATAAGTAGGTGATGTTCACAATGTGAGATGTTTTATTGCTGGATCAGTATGAGATCAATGAAAAGTCTACATTCATTGTGAATATCTCTCTACATGCTTTCAGTAACTTTTTCCTTTCTTTTAAACAGATGCTTTTCCAAAATTGTCAGTATATCTTTACATAGTTTAGGTTCATCTTGTTCTGTAAATTTTGCTGGTTCATGTATATTAACTGGAAACTGGGAAGATTGTGTCCTCCCTCCACCCTTACTAAGACCTTCTTGCCAATGCAATGGCTAGGGAACTGGCATCTCAGCAGTGAAACAAGTAAGTCCTGTTACCTCTGTTTATACCTTTATGTGACAGGTGTAGCTCTTCCAGCATGTTCACTCTCTGCTAGGGAGTCTCCTGGCATAGATTTGTTGGCCAATTTGTTCTGTAATGTAGATACTTCTTACACCATTCTATTTTCCAACAGTAAAATAAGAATGCATTTTGAGATCATGTTAAAACTTTCATGAGTACTCACACTGACAGTCATATGAATCATACATTAGAAAGCTTCTGTCTTTTCCTATGGAAATTTCTCATCTCTAAATGCTTATTTGATCATATATTGAATGGCTTTTTTTTTTTTTTTTTTTTTTTTTTTTTTTTTTTTTAAGTATACAGGGTTCTTAGTTGTGCTGAGATTTATCTTGTATAAGTTCACATGCTATTAGTCATGTGGATTTATGGGGAGTAGTTTGATACTGAGGAAGATCTGTAGGATGAGGAAAAAAATGGACAGGGCATACATGAGGGTTTCATTTTAGTAAGGCTGCTCAACGTCTTCTGATAGGTCCTTCCCCAGTTTGTCACACCAACCCAACAAGTTTGAAAAGTTCTCAGGATTTACACTGGATGTTGTGCTTCTACTAGGAATGATTTATGTCCTTTTAGTTTTCCAATGATTATGCTCTCCTCTTGTTGACTTTTATATTTTTGGCTTCTTCAATGCACCTAAAAGCAGGGCTGGAAAAAAAAAAAAAAAAAAAAGGATGGTTTCAGAGGGTTTAACAAGGAAACTGCTCTGTTGTGCTGCCAGCAGCTCTGAATAGAAGATACTGTTTCCCAGCTGTATGAAATATATGCATTTTATTTTACAGTACACAAAGAAATTTTTCATAGCTTTGCAGACAGACCAATTAAATGCAGTTCAGGCTTGCTGGGTCAAGGATGGAGGTTACATGTTACTGTCAATGTCTTACTGGGATTGACAAAAACACTTCCTGAGGTTTTATTTCTACTAAGAAGAGAAAACCCTTCCCTGAACCAATTTTTTTTCTTTTTATTTATATTTATTGGGGTGATTACTTAGGATGAACTTTTAAATATGCCTTAAAACACAGAAGCTGAAATATTGCATCAGACTGGCACCTCATCTACAGTCAGACAAAACTAGTGATTATAAGGTGAAGTCATAAGAAATCCTCTGTTAGGTAATAATACAATGATCTGCCTGTAAAGAACTAGTTCTTAATCTTTGTTTCTCAAATGTGACTGAAGAATGCTAAAGAACAGAAAGTCCATACTGTTGTTCGTTTGTTTTAATCCTATGTAAAAACACTCTTATTTTCCATAATTTGGTTTTGAAAGATCAGCTTTACTAGGATTATCTCAAAATATGCACCTTTTAAAATAATTCTGCTTTTTAGACATATTGTAGGTCCTTTTATGCACCAGGATCTTTCCAGTAAATTTTAGCAAGAATTTCTTAAAGGTATCAGTATATCACCAAATGGGCAACACTACTTCTCTCTAATGCCATATTGTGTTCAAGTGTCACTTTCAAGAGAGTAAAGGCTAATGAAACAAAACAAAAAAATCAATCTTGATTGATAATGTGATTAGCAATTACAAATGTACAGGGTTTGAAATCCCGACTTAATATTATGTACAATGGGTGAAGTATATGCTACAGGAAGAATTGTATTCCATTTGCATGCCAAGATCTTTCTAGTCTTCATCTCTTCATCCCTTCATCTCCAGTTTTTGGTCATATTTTCCATTCTCTGGTTAATTTAAAATCTCTTTTCACAGTCTTTTCTTTAATCCATACTATAGCTGGTTATAAATTTTGAAGAATTTCATTTGCTTACTACCCATCTAATACACAGCCGATACAAAAGGAAACATAAATTATGTTGGTAATAATCTGGCCTTCCTACCTCCCCATTAATCGAGTAGACCATATGTGTAGTTCTCTTTTAAGTGAACCCAAGAATATTTCAGTGAAAGAGAAAAGGAGGTCATAACATTTCTTAAGACCTTGACTTAAAAATTATTTTCAAATTAGACTGCTTCAGAACATAATGATAACCATGATAAGCTTCATCTGCCTGCAGTGGACTCTAGAATAGAGGAACAACAATCTGAAGAATTTTTTGTGTATATTTTAAAACCAGAAAGCCCTCACTTTGCCTGTGTCAACAGCTGAATGTATTTGAATAGCTATTATTCAGGCTTTTGAATTACTGAGGTTTTAAATTGACAGTTACAATCTATTATTTATTGCTTTCATTAAATATTGAAGGTTTATTTTACTAGTATAGTGAATTATTTGCTCAACTTTCAATCTTATTTCCTGTTAGGGTAATATGCAGGAAAACCCACAATAATTCTCTGCAACCAGGCACTGATCCTGTACCTCTTAAATTTGTATTTTGCACTTGAACTGCAAAACCAGCTTCCTAAGCTAGAGCTGTTTTCTTTTATATTCATTTTTTAGATGCCCATTTACCCAAGGGGAAGAACTGGTATTATGGTACAAGCACATATCTTAGGGAGATGTTTTATATGCATATGCTGAAACAATTTTCTGCTATATAATTAAACTCCCGTGATATGTGATTTTATACACCAAATGCATTGTCCAGACAATCACAAAATATTTGTGATCTAGTAATTGAGAATGATAAAGGTAATGTGTAGGATAATAGCATCAAGGAATAATAGCAAGTGATCAAAACAGCAGAAGAGATTATGCCAAGTCTTCAGGCAGCATGACCAAAACTTGAATGGCCTGAAGGAGCTGAAAAAATTACTTTACAATGGCTTTCCCACAAATAGAAGATAAAAATTTCACAGGTTCATTTCCTGTCTGTCTACATATGTACCTTCTCAAGGCAATCTCAAATAATTGGTACCTGAAGTTGCTAGGTAAGATGTGTAGAATCTCAGTACTTCTTAAACACGTTTCACTGAACTGCCTTGTCACAAAATTGTTAAAAGGCTCTTTTTGAAGTACATGTAATATATTTTTAAGTATCTCAAGAAGGAGAAACAGTACTGCCTAGGTTTATTTCCTATGAGTTCAGCTGTTATTTGGGTATACATTAACTCATTGGCCCCTAAGCTAATTAAAATTTGTGTGCTTTTCAGTTTGATTTAAGCAAATGGATATATTCTTATGTGGTGTGTAAGTGTTGCGCAGTACACTAATTTCAACCATGATGAAGGAGTGCTGAGCTTTGAGAAGTGCTATTTTCATTCCCAATCTTAGTAATATATGTATAAATAATATCCTATTTTAGGGAATATATATACAATTCTATTCTTAATAATATTCTATTATTCTTTTATGTTATCTATATCCTATCTAAACACCACAACTGGATTTTTCCTGTCTTTGTGCTCAGCACAGAGAGGGAAGAAGTCTTTCAGGAAGTGGCTCTTGCTTCCTTCAGGGATAATTGAAGCCCTGACAATAACAGAAATTAAAGAAGTTTAGGGGGGTAAAAAATGCAAGTGATTTAACATCTAAGGCTACATCTATATTGCTCTGAAAGAGCATTCTCTTGCTGTTAGCATTAAGGTGGTTTTCCAGCAGACTTTCTCCATGAAGTTTATTAGGCTATTCCTGAGGATGATAGTTTTCACAACAGCCAGATCTCTTCATGTTCTGGAGAACTTGCAGTGACAATGTCTGAGACCATGCTTTGACTCAGTGTTTGTACAGCATGTGTATCTGCCTTTTCAAGGATTTTGAGGTTACCTGTGCTGGCCATAGAGGTATAACACCAGCTCACCAGCTGAGAATTAGTGTACTCCCCCAGTCATTCTTAGATTTCTTTTCACAGAGCAGCAAGCTGAAGGATATGGGCTCTATGGTGCTCAGGGGACTCAAAGTTTTTTTTTTGTTTGTTTTCCTCTCTGTGAAATCTAAACTCTTCACAAAGCAATGCTTATGTTAAGCAGAATTTGATGAACACATGTATTTAACTATATTTTTGTCTGTTTATGAGGCAAAATAACCAATTTTGAAGGGTTGAAATGACTTTTCTTTGGACGTGCAAACTGATGATAGTGGAGATACCAGTTCAAAGCAGAAGTACCAATTTTGAAAATAAGCTGATGGAATGTTTGATTGACCTAAAACCAACACATCCATTTACACTAATATCACTAATATTTTAATTTATTATAATTTTTTAGATTTTGACTTTTACAAACAGAAAAGGAAGATGTCTTGAACTCTCTTGCTAAGGAGGAAAATGCTCTCCTGCCTGGATCTCATCGTCTTTCTTGCGTTGAGAGAGTTGGAGCCACATTCCCATCCTCTCTTCTATGACAGTAACTCCAAAGACTTGCAATGCGAGACTCAACATTTAGCCATCAGCAGCTTAAAATCCATCCTGCTGCCTCAGCATTCCGCTCGCTCTCACCCAACTGCAGCTGCTTCACCTGATGGCCCTGCACTTTTTCTTCCAACATTTGAAATGTAGTTTGTTTTTATTTATAACCCTCCCTGGAACATATAGTAATGTCTGTTGGAAACTGAATCAGCTCAAGCTCCTCTGTAAGAACCCTTGAACATTTCCCTTTTGGACTCAATTGGAAAGTTGCAGTTTTCCATTTTAACTAAAAATGCTCTGCAGGGAACAATTCTACATCTGCAGGGGTAGGCTATATGACTCAGTGTAAATCTTTTCCTTCTTTAACTTCCGTTGTTCTCATTCTGTTTTGCTAAGGCATTTTAGTCTCAACTTTCTTCTAAATGAGGGAACAAATATTCATGAAAATGAGAACTTATTATTAGAAAAAGTAAAAATTTAAGATCTTGAAAATTCCTATCTGTTGTTGACCTCTATGTTTGATAGAATGAAAGTCACTTTTTCAGTTCCTTCCTTATACCTTTCTCAATACATTTTGTAACTTATATTACTAAAATATATGTGTAGAAGATGTATTTAGAATTAGGCTCCTAAAAACAATATTAAAGAGTTTGTTTGTGGCATGTCCTGATGTTATAATATGAGTTGACAGAGCTTGAGAAGGGAAGCATGTGTAGAAATGAAAAATTTGCTTTGGTCATTTTACAGGTCCACAGTAGAGCAAAGAATCAATTCCTTGTCTTTTATTGTTCTATTATTTAACATGTTGAAAAAGTGGTAGCTAAATATTTTGAGGAAGTGAGAGAGTATGACCCATGTACACTAACCAGAAACCTGAGTGTGTATTCATTATTTAATGAACAGAATTTGTGGAAAATGGAGGTTAATCTAGAAGGGAGTTTATAACCATAGGCTATCCAGATAGGTAGAACAGCATTAAGTAACCCCCAGCAGAGATGTGTTCTGTTTAAAGATGTGCTGTGCTGCAGATACACTATAGAAAAAGGTAGACTGTGGAGATGTTGTTCCAGCTGCAGTAATGTCTGGCGGGTGAAGCTGTGGCTTGTAAAGTATCAAAGAGTGCAGTGATTCTGGGTCAGTTGTTCATCTCCAGAGCCTAAGTGTTTTGTGTGGTGTTTGGAAAGATTTGTCAGCTCAAGCCAGAAACAGCATCCAAGAACAAATTCAGTTTTGATGGTACCTTGAGCAAGGTTGATCATGAACAACTGTAATAATTCCCTTGAATAATAATTAATGCAACAAAAGGTTATATATAAATATATATATATATTTTTTTCTTTTTACAGAAGTTTCATAATTGCTGGAAAACTTTTGATTTTGCTGTGTGTCTTATTTTTCTTCCCTTTCTTTCTCTTTTTTCTTTTTTCCGTTGTACACATGAAAAAAGTGAAAATGAAAGGAAAAGAACAAGGAAAGGAGAATGATCTAAAAATGATAATTTAAAAAAACAGTTGTCTTTCTTTGGGAATATTTGTTTTTGGAATAAAGAAGAAACATCTGAAAACTTGGGTAGCATGTATGTGATCCATTTTGAGTCATGTAATTGTTTTTTGCTGTCACTATTTCAGTCTTTATTCAGATCAAATCAATATGGTTATTTCTGGGGATATTGTTGGCTAGATTAAATTTTAAAAATACTGAAAGAAGGACAACTAATACTGCATGATAATGTTAGACTTGTTCTTAAAGTGGATTTTTTTTAAGCTTCAGGAGATGTGGAAAATAGAAAATGGAACTTGAAGTGAAGGCACTTTGGAGTTCTTACTCCAAAGAGTGGCTCCCTCAGCAGAGAAGAAACTCAGATCAACAGTCTGTTCACAAGAAGCAGAGAATAGGAGAGCACTGAGAAAGAATAGGTGATAACTGGGATTCAGCACAAAACAGCTTTTCCTTCTGTGCTTTGAAGTTCTGATTTTATAAAAATGTGCATGTATCTAGGTTAGCATGATGCTGAAAGTGAAGATTAGCATAATGCTATTTTATTAAAAATACATAAAGCTAAATAGAATGTAAACTTTAAAATTTATAGTTAGAAAAAAAAGGGGGGGGGATTTTCTTTTATCTCTGTTCTGGAAGTTTCTGCTCTAGCATACAGAGAAGAGAACTTGAACTGAGGAAAGTATGATGCTATAGATGCTTGAGTCCATGTGATATAAGTGATATTTAACTATGTTTCCAAACAGTTTTGGAAATAGAGGATCTTAGTTTGTCCTCATGCTTCATAATCCCTTCACTTGTAAAACAGTGCTGTGGCTACTGGAAAAAGAAACTGGAACTGGTGTGTAGTTTGCCAGGTCTCTCCCGTATTCGTTTGCCACAGGGAGGCACTCCTCTTCAGGTTGTGCCTTCTCAGCTGCTCTGCAAAATATTAAGTGTGGTCCTTTGGTAGTTTAAAAAACAATGAGTCTTCATGTCAGTGGTGCTGCTTAAGTCTACAGCTATAGTGAATGCAGTGTCCAAATCCATTGCCCTGAAATACGTATGTCCATATTTGATATCACAAGGATATAGATTTTGAAATGGGAGCTTGAATTAAAATTTTGACATTCTTATATTCCTGTGCAGATACGCTTCACTTTTAGTATTCCTGAAATCAGCAACCTGATTTCATAAATGCACAACAGAAAAAACAAAGCAAACTGCCTGGCGTTGCAAAGGGAAAATTCTGTGTATGCCTTAGCAGATTTCCCAGGCTGAAATGGAGTAGTTATATATAAAGAAAAACTGCTTTCAGATGGGCTTGTTTCCAGAGTTTTGGCATGTATAACTAAACGAGGTTTAGGATCACATTCAGTAGAATAAAGATATTTAGTCATTAAAATCTGTTAACTTTTTTTTTTTTTGATGTGCAGAAAAAAAATCAAGAGCACTCAGTTTGCAGTTCAGAATATTGAGAGTTATAGGAGACTTGGTTTAAAATTTTCCTATTTTTTCCTTCTTTTTTTGGTCAAATGTATTGTAGTTAAAAAAATTCCTGATGTCTGTCTCCTAATCTTGATATCCTACTGCACTTGAAATTATATATTTCAGTTTGCAACTGGTGTAATACTTATACCTTGCAGTGAGTTTATTTGAGGGGCAAGTTCATCAGCTCTTGTTAATGCTCTGAGTTGCTTTAGAAAAATAAAGTAATTATAGTGTAATTCATTAGTATGTTCGATTTTTATTGCTGCATTTTATATTCTTGTCTTTTTTTTCTAAGGAAAAAAAATATAATTTTTGTAGAAAAATGCTGTGAGGAGATTGAAGTAGTGCATTCCAATGTGAAACACTAAGGCTTTTTGTTACTAGATTTTGAAATGAGAATTATGCATTTAAAATGGTACCACTCCTATGCTTTCAGGATACAGAATACAAAGCTATCATATCATAGCATTCATTGCAGGGCTATAAAATGAAAGGAGTAGTATGGACAGGATACACCCTTTTCAGTTTTGGAGAACTTTTTTTTAGTACAAGCTAAAGTGAAGAGAATTTCATTTTATATGAGTGATGAAAAATACTTATTTTGTACCATCATCGTTATGATACAGTGACAATTGAAGAAAATGTTAAATTTGTGAGAGTGGGAATCAAAGTATTTGGAAAATAAGCTAATAAGTGTCAGTATTAGACTGAGGTTGATAATGTTTTTTAAGACCAACTGTTTAAGACCAACCATTTAAGACCAACCCTACCCTTATTTTTGCTGACATCTTAATTGAAAAAATAGATGGTTTCCAAGTTGTGGAATATTTATGGTATGTATAAATGGATTCATAATCATGCACAGCCAAAAATTCCCAATAGAAGGCTCTCCTCTCTTTTCCAAGAATATAGTGGTATTTTTATTAAGTAGACTGGTTTAACTTGCATGTACCCTTCTTGAGCACTGAATGTGTGGATAATTTCAGACATCTTTATTAGTAAGTTTTAGTATGTCCTTTGCAATTTCTACCTTGGAGCATTGGGTTCTTAAGAAATGCTAACAAATTAAGTTCCTTGCTGCTGCAACAGTGCATGGATATTTTCAAATTAAAGAAATTATAAAGTGTGTTTTCTTTTTTGAATCCCCAATCAGGCAACTAAGGTTTTGGTTTTCAAATAAGATAGGGATAAGACAGTCTGTGGGAGTTGTAGGTAGTCAGTTTTTCTGAAATCATTCTCTAGTTAGCAGATATTCAGGAGATAACATGTATTCACAATTGAGAGCAGATTTTCAGAACTCAACTCTTGCTGAGGTGTCTAAATATATTGCTAGGCTTCTAAGAGCTTAGCGTGTTGAACGCAGTGAGAGCTTCCAGCTGCAGATCATTTCTGGAAATCTGACCCTTATTTAGGTGTTTAAATGTGTGCTGGTTGCTTCAGAAAGTCTGGTCTAATGGTTCTATATATAGGCATCCAATTTAGAGATAATACTTTTTTTAAAAGTGCCCCTTATTTTTTTCTGAAAAGCCATTACAAATTAATTTCAAAAACAAAAATAGAATTCAGACTCTTCTAGTGCCATTGTGTGAGGAGCCAAAACCAATCAGCACAGGGCTCTGCATTTGGAAGATTGCAAAGACATGGTTGAACTGAAGCTTTTCCAAGAATCCTGGAGAAGGCTCATCTGAGAGGAAATGGCAAGATGAAAACCAGCTTTCTGTTCTCACAGTGGCACTGGATGAAAAAAGGAGGATTGGAAACTAGATTGTAACATGAGTAATACATCTATTAGAGAATACCCAGTAGTAGTTTATGAAGCTGTAATCTAGAAAGAAGAACATGAGGGGATGAGGCAGAACTTGGCACATCATAAAACAGGTGAGGCTTGACCTTGGGTTACAGTCCAGAGAAATACTCTAAATAACAGTAGCTTAATGGAAGTCACCAACTACTGTTTTTCAGAAATTAAATCAGTAGGAAAACTCACAGAGCTGAATTGACACCCACTTCTGTCTCCATTTTATTCCATTTTCATCATCTGCTCATTCTTTTCCTACATATCTGATACTTTATGTCCTCTGTGATTCACATTTTTAATGGTGTAATTTCCTTCATACTTAAAAACAAAATACAAAGCTAATTTTCAGGAGTACTGAAAAGAACTGATTCTTAGAAAATTCTAGAATTCAATGCTCATGATATTTCAGCTAGAAGAGATGTATTTTCAAGAGAACTTACACTGTTGCTATCTGAGTTTACGAAGCTGCAGTTCCCAGGCACCATACTAAATTCAGCATCACCATAATTTACAGTCCATTAATACTTTTCCTTTAGAAATATACCATGACATCTTAAGATGGAAGAAAATGTCAAGTATAAAATGAAACAATCTTATGTGGTTGTAAGAGATGTCTGCAATGGATCAAAATATTCAAGACCAGGGAAAAAGGGAGGGAGAATAGGAGTTCTGTGCTAAATTCCGCTGACAGGGACAATGAAATATAAACATGAGAAATAATTTGTAACAATGTTTAATCCCACAAAGTCTCCTTCAGACTTCTCTCTAATTTCCTTTCTAGGTTCCAGCTAATATAATTCCACTGAGACCCTGTTCTCACCATTCATCTATTCCCAAATCTGTATTTCTAAAAATTGCTTTTGTACTCTTGATTGAGAGAAACCTCGTTAGTCTCTGAGCACGAAATCAGGGTCTCATTTTTCCTTTGCAGTTGAACTTGGATGAAATAGGAGCATCCATCAAACTGCTCTCTGACAGAAGCAAAGGGGTGGAGTGAACATTTCAGAATTTCTTTCTGCTGATGTACTTGCAACTTTCAGGTATAGACTGCATGGTCACAGTTCAAGTCACAGTTCAAGTCACAGTTCTGCATTTGTGGTGTAGTCTTTTTAACTTTGGCCTCTCAATGAAGTCAATTGTTTTTCTTGATTATCAGTAATAATTTTATTTTATTTTTTCTTTTGCTAGTAAAATGTGCAAGAACGAATATGAGGTGAGTATGGATGAACAAAAGAAAATACAGCTTGTTTAGGGATTTTTCAGGCCAGCAGTTCTAGATATCACCAGTGACAGTCTGGGACTTGCCCACAGTTGTTTGTACTAACATACACATAATCACGATAGAGATGTCAGTAGGAAGGGGCCCTGTGTGGTGACTGGAGAAAAGTAGTGAGTCAGCTGGGCTGACAGAAGTAGCTAATACATATAGCCTGATATTTGGAAGAAGCAGTAGCACAAACAAGGGTATATCCATTACATTGGTAAAGAAGGGTCTAATCTGGAACATCAGTTTGGCTGTGGAGTGTGAGAGAACAGCAAGAATTTAGAGGCAAAATATTGAAAGGAAAGAAGTCTTGACTTTGCAAACGTTGAATACTTCATTGACTAAGGAATTAGCCAAGTAAAAAGCCTGAGTATAGGAAAAAAGAGAAAAAGGTAAGAAAGAAGAGGAGTTGCTTGTATTCAAGGGGAAAGTGCATTTCTTTAAACTTCAATTTAAACTGTCTCAGAATGATGAGGAAAACAGGCAAGAATGGTCCATAATTAGCTCCTGACTTTATCAAAATCTGTGTTTAGTGTTATTTAAAATAAAAGGGTTGCATTGCATTAAGAACCCTTACAAGCTTGTGTATTGTATATCCTCACAGAGGTACACTGTAAATGAGAAAACAATTTGAGGTGAAGTTACATGATATGGCCAAATCAGTCTAACTCCCTGAAGGAGAAATTTCTATATGCCACTATTCTTGTTCTCCCCATGTATTTCTGCTTATTTTGTACTGCTTCTGGTGCTATTTGGATCCCCACCTTAAGCTGGTTCAACCTGCTGACTGGCAGGAAGCTGTTAACAAATTTCTGGGGTATTCCCCCCCCTCCCCCCCCCCCCCCCGGTTACTTTTCTACCAGTTGGGTAGTTTAATCAACAAAGCAGATAGAAGTATGATGGACTCTAGTGCCTGTGCAAGGGAAGGGATTGAACCTTGCAGCAGGGATGAGAGAACCAGGAAGGAAAAAAGTAATGAAGCTTCTAGAATGACTCAGCTCTTTGTTAGCTTCATCCTAACATGGAATTCCATTTTAAAATGTTTGTAAGTTAGTGGAAGATTTTGGAGAGCCAGTGCTTAATCCAGCAAACCTGATCTGTGAGGTCCTGCTTCTCAATTAGACAGAAGGGCACTGAGCCAGAGAGGCTAGAGGAGGAAACAAGGCTGGAAGCCACCCAAACCAAAAGAGGAAACCTAAAAGCAGACCACAGGACCCAAACACAACAGCCAGATGAACATCCAGTACTTCAGCAGCAGGCCCCACTGCTTCTGACCAGACGTGAAAAACATCGTCCTTGCCCTTAGCTATAGATCTGTTTAAGTACTACTGACTTCTACCTGCCTCTCTTCCTTTGAAGACATGCTTCTGGGTTCTCCACTACTGTACTTAGTTGCCTCAGTCTAGATTAAATATCATTTATTGCTTCCTGCTCTTATTTTCAAACTCTTCAGAGTAACTCTGTCTTTAATTTTCTTCCAGAATACTTGATTTTGATTTCATTCCCAGCTCACACATGCAAATGAATTGTACCAAGTTCAGATATCTATTTCTATCGTTTATTGTTGGATGATGTTCCAGAAGCCTCTGTTCTTTGGTTGCGTCCAAAAAATGTGAAAGAATATTTTATTAGTTGTAATCACAGGTCCTTAATTTTCTTTAGTAAGTGTGGCATATACTGTCTATTTTGGTATGTGATATGAGTGCAGAGATCTGGTCGGTATGGAGGTTAAATTAAAGGCTGAGAAGCTTTTTGGAATGTTGCTTTCAGTGCTCAGGGTTACAATTTCAGTTCATTTAATATTTTACAGATGAAGTTAAGACAGTAATATTGAGCTGTTTTAACACTCAGGAGGGTAGTATCTCAGTTAAAACAGTTATGAGTTCTAATATTAAAGGTAGAATGAAAAGAAACAGTATTACGATGATGTAGGGATTTTTTTTTTTTTTTTAAATCTACACCTAATATAATATTTTCCTTCTTCTAATAAGTGACTGGAAAAATTAGCCTGTTTCTGTAACTCCAGTAAAAAGTTGCATTTGAATAAACATAGGCCAACGTTTTCATTGTGTTTTGGGCACAGTATGTGACACTTTTTGTGG